GACCGAGCTCCATTCAGAAGAAAAAATGGATTTTTTTTTGGGGTCTTTTCGTAGTGCTCCGTGTTTGTGGCTCTGGACCCGGACCCACCAATTTAATCATGGATATGTGGAAATTAGCTAAACTCTGCCTAGTCGGCTACTCCCTCCTATACATAACTTTGCTTTTTTAAATGGTAATCTTGGTATTCTTGATTGTGTGTGGAGTTTGATTCAATTCTTATCGGGTCTTATATACGTGGATCCAATGTAGAACCGTTTATGATCGGGTCAAATGTGTGGTGGGCTCAGGCTGGCCAATGAGTACCCATTGGCCACTGCCACCGGCCAGCATGATTGGCCGACAACTTATCTGATGACAGGGTATTTCTTTTCAATCCTGAATTTATTTTAAATTTATCAGATTTTAGGTCTGCCTAGTTGGGGCCTGGAATTGGGATCTGTTCCTCACAAATGGGCGCTACATGGGCACATCCTCTATGCATTGGGAACCTCTCGTGAATAATAACTAATAAATAAGTTTATATATACAATGAATAGATGATTTAATTAAATTAAGAGGGTGTTCTGTAGTGTAGTATAGATATTCTATGGATTATTTGATTTTAAAACACGCCACGCTTATTGGGCGTTAGATTCTTTTAAGGGTGTGGTACGTTTTCAAAAATTTTTATATGCGAAATATCGTAATTTCTTTTCTACACCAGAAACTCATGGATTGGTCTACATTATGTTAAGTTGGTTAATTAATTTCTATATATATTGCAATAAATGAATGAAATATTTTACTGCAATAATGGTTAATTCATGGTACTGAACACCCCCCTACACCTACATAATGCTGTTGTCAATTCATGGTGGGTTTTCCTGTAGATTTATGAAAGCAAGTTCAACGTTTTAAAAATGAATCTGCTACTTACTTGCTGCTTACTAGCTATTAGAATGAGTTTGTCAATCTGCTGGATTTTTGTCAACTGGCATTCAAACGGGCTATAATTTGTTAATTGTGAGGCTTAATTTGCAGACCTACCTAATTTTGTTTCTTTGATCTGATCTTTAGGAAGTACAGATCAGATGTTACATCAGTTTTAGCCCATGACTAATATCGTCTATTGCCATACCAACAACCAGCTGTGTTTTCTAGTGCAAACCCTAAAGCTTAAGGACAGAGTCCACCAGTTCACACTTTCATGTCCTCTTCTCCAGCCTAACAATTCAATCTTCTTGAATACAAAGTGTTTGGGTTTTGAAGGGTTAATGGTGTAACGTAGCTCACAGTGGCATTGTCAAATCAGACCACTATATGGAATGGGTGGATGGTGACTAATTAAGGATGGTGTTTGCATGGAAATAGAAACTGATTCATCCAAACCCCTTATAATTTACACCTCAAGTCATTAATTGTTGTTTGAAAGGTGATGGAAACACTCAACCAAACAAGAAAAGGCTGTGCTTGTTTTCAGTGTAAATACAGATCGGTGTAGAATTCCACTCCCAATCCGTATTTTCATGTGTTTGGTTGAGGTGTAAATTTTATATCGAAAATCGATGTACGCCTTACACAGTTGAGTTTTACATCAATAATGATGTAAATATTACATTTATTTTTTAATGTACTTTTATATTGATTATCACATTTTAAAAAGTCCAACAGTTCACTCATTTTAAATTTATTGGCGTTGAACTCCATCAATATATTTTTACATCAATGCCGGTTTACACCGAAAACAAACACAGTCTTACAGAAACAATTCCAGTACCAAACACCTTCTAAGTCTGAATTTTTAGAATAACTTTTTAAAGCGGCAAATATGAAAAGATGAAAGACCATGACCCAATATTGATCCCAGCTATCTAGAGTCTTGGAAGGGAGAGACAAGATGTGGTCCTAACCTTTTGCATTAATTTTAGCACAAAGTGGAAGATCACATATTCAAACCTGCTTCTCATGCTTACCAGCCCAAGACTTTACCATTGCACCAAGTAATGGTACTAATCAATTTTCCAATAGCAAATAGTGTGTACTGCAAAAACCTATGAACTAAAGATGGATAGGGGTGAGTAAGAAAAATCAAAAAGCCAAACCAAACCAACAAGAGTAAATCAAAATTTTCAGTTAATATCGGTATAGGTATATTTCTATATATTATATGTATATTTATGTATATTATATATATATATGTATTTTATATTATCCATATATTATAGATTAATAAATATGCATTATATATAAATATATATTTATAATATATAATATATTATTTATTTTTTAAAATAAAATATTTTGTATTTCTAGCTTTTTATTATATATTTATATTTTTTTATAATATATATTATAAATATAAAAAAACCGATGAATCTAATCAACGGTTAACCAAACTGGTCAACCAATTAACCAATCGGCTTAGGTTTGACTTCGGTTACCAGTTTTTCGGAAACCAATAGTAGGGATTCGGTTTCAAAATAAGCCCAAGGTTACCAAACTGTGAGCATCCCTAGATGGAGTAAGCTCACTTTGACAAGTAAGATTTGACTTTCACCTTTCTAATTAAGTAATTAGTAAAAACTATACTGCACTCCACCTCAGAATTCTAAATTCCACTGCAGACCTATAACAATTCAAAATTTCAAATACACACCTATAACACCAATATCCACCTGTGTATTAACATCAATTCCGAGCTTACACCTACCCCGACTGTACTGAACAATAAAAACCCCTTCTAATTATGCCATCCGACAAACAGGATATCAGTTGAGTACTGGCTGGCCAGCCATTGACCACGATGAAGTTGAGAACCACAAGGACACAAATTACAGCTTACTAAATGAAAATGGAGAATTTTCAAGAATGATCTAAAAGTCATCTTGTGTTTTGGGTATTACAGTACGTAGAATAATCAACAATGCATCTTTGTGTCTTGATCCATGGACTCGTTTGAAACGTGTAATTGAATTAACAGCAAATTCAAATGGTTTCCTTAATTTCCATATGCATGTTTTCAACATTACATATATAAAGCAAAGGCTCTCTCGTCTTTTATCTCCCAAATAGGAATCCCATCTATATTGAAACACAGTACAGCCTAGAGAGATAAATGGTTAATTACGTGGGTATTCAAGATAAAGACTGTTGAGTTTCTTCTCTTACTGGTGCAAGCTACTTAATTAGCTTAATTTGATAAGTTTGAGTATCAACCCATGAAGACTGAGAGCCTTGCCCAAGCAAGCAACCGTAGACAAACTTCTGTCCATCACAGCAATTAATCATAGAGAGCCAACTCTTATCCATGGCTGTTTGTCCAGCAAAGCTGGGCCATAGTTGAAGCTTGAACAGTAAATAATTAATATATTCTAATAACATATAAATGATATATATAGAGAGAGAGAGAGGAACTATTGGGAGGTTATTTAAGAATTAAGACTAAGTAACCGCCCCACATGTGCCAATGTCAATGGCCCTCTCCTTCTTAATTTCATGTATTTAGCTATCTCACGCAAAGTGGGCACATGCGTGGCTTAATACCACCATCAAAACGTGCACATAACGAAGACCAAAAGCATTAGACAACCCTCTTTATTGTGACTTTCTCACGAAGTCTCACTCACTTCTTTCACTAGCTTGCACACATACATGAACATACACTTCTCTCTCTCATGAATTGGGTTGATGGGTAAAGAGTTGAAACAAATCACAGGTGAGATGGGGTGGGGCTATTGATGGAGTCATATATAGAGATAGCTAAAAATTAGAAATTTTTTGCAAGTGTGTAAATAGAAATGAGTAGAGGTGGATGAGATGATATACTATATATAAAAGTGAGAATGCATTGTAAAACTTTTTTTTGTACTAAAATTACTCTTTACTTTTTAGTTTGAGAAAATGGTATAAAAGCCATTTTATTACAGCTTTAATGACTAATAAAATGCACATAATTGTACATTTAGTCCATCTCTAATGGTAAGGGTTGAAAATGTAAATTCAATTATTACTTCCCACCTCATTTAATCCCCTCTCATTAAATTTTATACTTAGATTATTAATTCTCATTTTCTCTTATTAAATTAGATCCGTATCAATATTTTTAACAATATAAAGCCATATATTTTAAAACTGACTCAAAAACAAAACCATTTTTAATTCAAGTGGTGGTTAAGTAATTCAACCATCCGAATCAAATTGATCAACCTACGAAGTCATAGTTAATTAATAAAATTTTTAAAATAAATATAAATATAAAAACTTGCAAAATTGTAGAAAAAATAGACACATTTATGATATTTTTATTAATCAAATTAAAAAAAATAAGTGCAATAAACAATAATTATTTTTATTGGTAATGAAAATGGAATACATAATTTAGAACTGACCAAAAATGAAATTATTTTACTATTTGTCAAATATCAATAGTTCAAATTTTGGGTCAAACATATTAACCTTTAATATAATAAATAAATAATAAAAGTTAATAAAATGTAAAAATACAAAAATACATAAAATTTGCAAAAAAAAACATCTAGGCAACGCATAATATCATATATTTATCATATTAATAGTAAGTGTGACATATTAGAATTATTTTTACAAAAAAAAATACAAAAAAAAAGAAAAAATTAAAGACATTTATAATTCTATATTTACACTACTATTAAAAAGTATAAATAAGATTGTAAAATTTTATTTTGACTAAAATACTCATTTTTTAAGTGCAGTTACTAACTAGCTTCCTATCCATTTATTCTCCTCATTTAATGAAACAGACGAAGAGAGTGCTTTAGTTTTCTTGTAAACGAAACAAGGGAACCTAATCCACGACTTTTGGTGGTGGAAAACCCAAGCCAACCCTTTGCCTTTAATTTCTTTCTTTCTTGCTTGCTTGCTTGCTTTGATTTGTTGTTTATTATCACTCTCTCTTGAGTGTTACACATCGCCTTCGCACTTGAAAAGAACCAAAACAAATTAAAAGAAAAGATGCTCGGATCACTCACTCGCTTTTCGTGAATGAATGAAAGGCCACCATGAACTGTGCACGAACCACTTGCTTGAATTGCTTGTTTACCCAAAGAATTCAAACTGGACGATCAAAATTACAGATTAAAAGAATCCAAAGAATCGGTAATATGAATTTTGAATAATTATGAATAGTAATAAGAGCGACAAGAATCAGAATCATGTCGTCATGATCAAATAGTTCGCATTGGAATCGATCTATTGATGGAAGAACAAGGGAGAGGCCGTGCGTGCTTGTACGTGTTTGGGCCGACCTTAATTGCTTTCTTCCTTGCTAATAATGACAATCCACTAAGGCCGAGGCGGAGAAGATGAGTGAAGGTTGTTGCTTGGAGGCGAAGGGGAATTTGGGTTCCCGGTGGTCATCTTCTGTTGGCGCCGGGAGGTTGAGATCCAATGACAAAACGGTTCTTGGCTTCTTGGCGGCATCTGGGGAGTCCGGAGTTGGGCTGATTGTGGTTGTCGGAGCGCTTCTGTGTCGCCTCATGTGGCCTCCTAAGGCCTGGCCGGACGAGAATTCTGAGCCACATATGGAGCACTCGTGGACCCTGGACTTGGTGGTGGTGGTGGTGCTATTATATACAACTCTGTTGCCTATTTGGAGAGGAAGAAGGGACGATGGGATGCTGTTATGGGTGAATTGAGGTTCGTCTTCTTCTGGGGACAAGGCCATCAAGGATTTCTTGTCTTCCGCCATGGCCTTAGGCTTCTTGTGGCTTGCCCTGTGCCCACCTAGCGCCTGGAACGATGGGAAACAGCGGTTACATGTCTTGCACTCGTAGACGTAGAATCCTGCCTTGGCGGTGGTGGTCGTGGCCGCCTCGGCAAATCTTCGGCTACTGGCCCTCTCCATCGCCCCACCTTCCTCAATTCGCCTAGGACTGTCCCGGCCATGTCCTTGGGCTAGGAGAATCAGACAATTGGCCATGTCCTCTTCTTCCTCGGTGCTCTCAGCTGCGAATTCCACCGAGGTAGTCGGCGACGGGAAGCCAACCTCATCTCCACCACTACCCCCACTTTCTTCTTCTTCTTCTTCTCCTCCTCCTCCGCTCGAAGAGCTAGTAGTCATGGCAACGGCTGCAAACGGGGACGGAGGCCGCTGGCGCTTGGTTCGCTTGCCCTTGACAATATGGGTGTGCTCATTAGACCCCATGACTTCCTCTGCAACTTCCATTTCCCTCACAACTACCCAACCCAAAAAAGCTTAAAACAACGAAGAGGAAGCTGAGAAACCAGAAACGACTACAAATACAAGAGCTATACAGAGAGAGAGAGAGAGAAAGAAAGAGAGAATGGAAGAAGGGTAATGGAGGAAGCAAGGTGGAAGAGTAGGCAATCTTATTTATAGTGAATAACTGAATATAAGAGTTTTAGTAGTCAAAGCCTCAAAGCCGCCTCCGTGAACAGTAACCGCGAATTAGTCCTCCAATCTTATTCCTTCCTTGCGTTTCTATCCTTGGAAGTTATACATATATAGACCAGAGAGACAGAGAGTGTATGTGGGTGTGTGTTCAATTTTTTTTTTTTTTATGAGAGAGAGAGAGAGAGAGGGAGAAATAGGTGGAAATTAGAGAGGTGAGGAGTAACTAAAGCAAAGAGAGAAGATTAACATTAACACAAGAGATAAGAGACACAAACAATGTAACTGAAAATGGGCAAAATTAGAGACTAGAAAAAACAGTTTCTTCAGAGGTTTATTAACGTCTGTAAGTCCGTTTCACACTCCCTTTCTCACACTTTGTCACGTAAAATTAACAACCACCACCAAAGGGATTGCACGATAAAAGCATGCTCCCTCCTTCACTCATCTTCTCCTACATACCACACACCATAAAAAAAAAGAGAAATTTATATAGAGAAAGTGAGAGAGAAGAGAGAGTGTGAGAGGAACCGAGTGAGATTCGGTTGGCTTTCAAGCAAACCCATTCCTTTATGTTTTTTCAACGATTCTCTCTAGAGGATTGGATTGCAAGCCTGGAACCACGGCATTTGCGGTGCTCCCTTTCTTTTAGTTTTTTTTGGCCCATTTCTAACACTTTTATATTGTATATGCTTTTCTTGCTCATATAATTCTGTTGAGTTTTTAATAACTACCCAAGTAGCCTGTCTTTGCTTCTCACAACATTGAGACTAAATTAATTTAATTAACAGTTAATTACCCATAAAACAATACTTTGTGTTTGTATGACTGAGAATCCAATCAATCAGTTCATCATGTGCTGTTTGATGACCCAGACCCACCTACCTCTCTTCTTCTTACTCTATATCTCATAAAATTCACTGATTAACAGATCATCATCATCTGTGGACAATCATTAGAGGATCCATGGTTCTTTGGATGGCCTAATTTCTAACACTCTTTACATTTGGGTTTTCAGAGAAGATGTAAGAACTAAGGAGAGAGAGAAAAAGAGAGAGAATATTATCGATACCAAAAAATGAGGCAATTCACTTTTAGAATACATTTATTATAAAGTTTCTTGTGAAATTGTGGCAAATTGGAGTTGTGGATCAGAAAGAAGGAAAAACCCCATTTTTTATATATTATTGGTTACAGTGAGAGGATGGAAAATGCAAACAAAAAAGGTAGCAAGTAGTGGCTGGACTACAGTTTAGCTAGTATGGTCACTCATGTTTTGTCTTCTTTTGTCTAATATATCGTGATGGATTGCAGTGTTGATGTGTAACACAATATCTCCCCCGAGAAATTGGAATTAATGGACCAAGGGAAAGGGATGTGGCTGTGGTAGAATTTTACAATGGGCCGGGAACCCATCAGAATTGATGGGCCTTCTTCATCCTTTAGACACACCCAATTGGCTGAAGCATCTACTGATGCAAGACCAGTCATTAGTATCATTAATTACCACCAAATGTCAAGTTCTGCTTATGGTCCGACCCTTTTGATAGCATCCTACACTGGACGGTTACCAAAATTGATGGGTTGACAACCCATCATCCATTTATGTAGAGAGAGAGAGAGAGAGAGAGAGATTATTTAGGGTAGTAAGTCAATGTCAATGCATGAATGAGTGGGTTAAGGAGGGCAGATTCTTGGAGTAACGAATTGTTTTGGTTGGTTGTGTGGAGCACGTAATGAGCAACTTCAGCAATAGAAGATTAGAAGTAGGTAGTGAGGGGAAGTAAAGCATCCCTAAATTGGTTGGTTGGTGGACGGAAACATACACAGGTAGCCTCCTACTATGCTTCTTCTTCTATCCCACTTCTCTTTATCTATTCCAAACTCTCATTTCTTTATTACTAAAACCTTTCCAACTATATATTATTATATATTAAACCTTGCAAGTGTGGAGAGATCACTAACAAGGAGAGATTGAGATTTGAGAGCAAGTTTGTTATCGTTGAGAAACACTCCCAACTTACCTCAAAACCCGCTCCACTCACACTTAATAAAATATTCTGGCATAGAGATTCAGTAGCTTCTGGGCCACTCATGACAACATGTTTGTTGCAACTAAGCACCTCCCATTAATAAACAAAACCATTCCACCTTAAAGCAGAATATCTCAGACTCAGACAACCCCATCCAGAACAGACCCCCCCCCTCCAGTTTTAATTTGGGTCAATGGCTTATTGCACTTACCTAATACAGCCTGATCTATATTAGTTTGAGAATTATTAGCTTTTTTTTTATTTTATCTGCATGACTTTTAAGCAGAGACCAGCTAAATGATCCTAGCCATTCAATGGGTCCAACTTGTATTAACATATGATGATCTTGTGTACTTCCCTTAGATTTAGTTTGCCAAGAAAAGAAATTAACCATCTTTCAGAGTTCCAATCATTTAGAAGCTTTCTTGCTTTCTTTGTTTTCCCTTTTTTATAATCAAATAGTGAGAACAAACTGGGTGGCGTGGAGTAGGAGTCAATATTGCTCCAAAGTCAGGAAGGAAGAGGATAATTAATACAAAGAAGCTAAGAGAGAGGAGTTTATAAGTTAATGGGTCATGACCACTAACAGCCAGAGAGATAGAAACCAAACTATTCCTTCTGTCATGGAGTGTGACTTGAATAATAATCCCACAAGCAAAACAATAAAAAAAAGTGTAACAAACACATAGAACTCTTATGTACAGAAGTGGGTTCAGGGTTCTTAACTACTCACTGATCCCAGTTTTTCTTTTTCCTTTTTTTTTCTTCCTTTTGTTGGTGGTGGGTAGTAGTAGACTAGTAGTAGTATTAGTGATGTTTGTGAGTAGTATACCACTTTGGAAGTTGTAACTAATGCAGAAAGAAGAAAGAACCAAAGTGGCATCAAAACCTCCTTTTCTTTCCCTTTAATGACAACGACTTTATGCCTACTCCCACCCAAAATTAGGTTTGCACCATCCTTTCACATCTCCTCAAGTACTATTCACACTTGCCTCGTGAATTAACTCCTCTACCCAGATGATGAATTGCACTTGTGTGTGTGTATCTGTACAGAATTGGAACAGTGACAGGCGGGCTGGGACTGTTGTTAAGTCTTTCCATGCGTCAAGATTTAGTTTGGGTTATCTTTAACTGTACTGGGGGGGGGCAGTGAAGTGTCAAAAAGCGATGCAAAAAGAACCACAGAAGTGTTACAGTTCTATCTTTTTGATACTGTTGGGGATAGACTTTGATTCTTGACCTGTCAATAACTAACACATTAACGGCCACACTTTTAGAAAGCTTGACGAGACAGGAATAGAAGAAGGGTCATCTTTTATTCAAGCATTTACTACAATAACTACAGTATTAACAAAAGGTAATTAATTAATGGATTTAGCAGCTCTGTGTATTGAACAGAATGCCGTGTACTGACCCAGGATCCCTAGATAGATGCGTGTCTTCCGTGGACCAAAATTGATGGTCAGCAGGTCAGAACTACAACTAATTCATTAGCATCAAATGCTTGACTTCACTCATGTAATCATGTTTTGCTTTCTAAACATTTAGCTAGCTAGTTAAGTGTATTTATTCATGTTATTTATTTATTTTTTTAGATAAATAAAATAATGACTGTTTTAATTATAAAAAAAAATAATTATTAAAAGGGATAATTTTGTAACGTCCAAATATTGATAACTTTCCCCACCCGGGTAAGTGATATTGAAGAAAAATAATTTTTTCATGAATAAATCTGACAAAAGAATATGGATTCATCGATCAATGCATAAGAACCAAAACCCAATTCACCAACTTTTCTCCTGCTCAAAATCCCAAAAAAAAAAGACCCTGAAGATTGTAAGTGGATGAATTCATAGCAATTCAACAACTAACAGGAATTAAGACGACTAGTTTTTCGTGTTGCAAAGGGTTTTCTGAACTCAGGCTCAACACAAGCATGAGAAGGAGGAGTTAGAGGCAAAAGTAGGAACATGGGAACTCATAATTTGAAGATTTGGAGTTGGCTTGAAGAAAACCTAATCTATTGTCAACGCAGCCCCAAGGGTTCAGCTGGAAGTCGGTGGATAAGAATCTAAATAACAATTTTTATTAAATAGCACACTATATTATAACAAACTCATCGTCGCTGGGATCAAGTGCAAAGCAAAGAATGTAGGCAGCTCGTTTTCTTGCTTATTAATCAAGGAGCCAAACCCTGGAATAAAGCATAGATTAGGTTCCTAGCTAAGGAAGGTTGACCCAACAGGCAAACAGTAGATCCCCATGGAAAATTCACTGTTTATTCTGACTTTGATAAAGCTCTTGTGCTGAAGCAGCAAAGAGCTCCGAGTCTAACCAGTGTGTCACAAATTCGATCATGTATTTTATTAATAAAATTATACATAATTATATTCTACAAGTATTATATGTATATATGAGTATTATTTTATATTTAATATATATTTTATTTTTTTATTTATAAAACATGCTAAAAATTGGATTTGAGGCCAAAAGGGGGTTTTGGAAAAAATTATGGGGCAAGGCCCTTCTGCACCTTGGGATGCATAGGTTCGAAAATTTAACTCAAATCAATATAAAGATAATCCAAATCAAACAATCAAACATAAAGTTATGGCCATCGAAAATTTTAGTGTGTTAACCTATGACCCATTGACCAAGTTGAGAGGGTAACGGTTCAACCACTCTTATTAAAAACTGGGTTTTGGGAAAACTAGACCTGAAAACATGATCTGAAGACGATTTAAGCGATTCAACCGTTTGGATCAAAACCGATGCGGAACCCAATGGACCGGGAATGACCGCACATGAATAGTGGAGTCAATCTGCCTTTATATTAGGTATTAGGTAGGCAGACTGTTACTCTGCTTGCCAGTCAGCCCACTGTTGCCTCACTAACCACGGTCCATTTGCTTACTGAAATAAAGTCATATTAAGTCATTTCTTGATGTATCAGCCAATTCTAGATTGCTTTTGCTACCTAGTAGCTACCATGCCACGATCAAAAGTCAATGTTGGTAGAGAATGTCAAAGTCCACGGTTTCTCATGTCAGAATATAGGAAATCCTAGCTAATCTGAGAGTTTACCAATATGCTTTAGTTAGATGTTGCAATTTGAATTTTTGGTGTGGTTTGTTGGTCAAACTAAGGCTGTGTTTGGTTTCGTGAGTATTTATTGAAAAAGTACCATTACATCAGCGCCACATAGGCGTTGGCGTTTATTGCATATGAAGCAAAATGAAACAAGTGTTTGGTTTCACTAGTTATCAAATAAATGATAGAAAATTGGAACGCTTTGATTTTGTGTATGGGGCATTTGGGAAAACGTCAAATTCTCATTTCCTCCAATGGCCCATATTTTCTTGAAACTATGTCACTTTAATGGGTATTAGTCTGAGGTGGAGAGTAAAAAACGTTTAAAGTGAAGCCCAACCAAACAACAAAAACAAAAAACATTTAAAATGAAAAAGTACAAATAAACAGCCTATCCATAAACACCCACGGAAGTATCATTATGTTTTCTGGAACACTGATGCCAAAGCCGCTTAATTGATAAATGTATCTCTCAGTGTATGTGAGTCATTTATCCAAAAAAATCGCCAAATTTATGTTTTTCATTTCTTTTGGACATTTTTTTACAGTTTAGCTTATATGACACTTATTGGCGTTAAGATGTCAAAAAAGCATTTAAAAGCAGATTTTATCTTGACTTTCGAGACAAAATCGTACAAAACATTTATTAGACAAACACCATCAATACGAGACCGGATCTCCTCCTCACACTTGGCATCTCACAGGCGCCTCACACACATCCCATCATTAATTGGGAACATCTCCCATTCTTATTAGTTATTATTCACGGGAGATATTCCCAATGCACAGTGGATGTGCATGTGAAGCGCTCATTTGCGACGAGCAGATCCTGTCACCATCACTACCAAACATCCTCTAACCATGATTACCATAAGGGATGCCACATATGGCATGCCTACAGTTTACATGTGATGTGAGCCAATTGGGCAGTAACTCATCCATCAAGGCATCAGCTATCTAACTGGTCAGAAACTCATGGGTTTCCCATGGCTAAAGTCAAGAAAGCTGTTCCCAGCTCAAGAAGTTGCATTTGTACAAGTACAACTAAAGCAAATGCACCCAACCTAGCAGTGAAAAAGTACACCAAATTGGACAGCTAAGGTCATCCATGATCCAACGTCTTCTCTGCTGGGTTGGGGTCACGTTGCATGGCTTTTCCGGGCCGCTCAACAATGTTAAGAGCATAGGTCCTCCTCATACATGAATTAATGCCCTACCCGTTTCACTCTACATAAGCCATAAGGTCATGTTTTCTCAAAGAATACCCAGTGGTCACATGCGCACCTGCAAACTCCAGGCTGTGAAGTATGAGCCCTGTGCCCATGGTGTATCTACCTTTAAAATATGCATACACCCAATACTCTTAAGTGGGTATCGATGCATATCAATATGATCAATTTTTTTTTTTCATTTTGCAGATATTAAAAGATCCTACATATTATTTTCAAATTTTAAAATGCAATAATATAAATTTGGATATATCATATGGATATTTTAATCCTTAACAACAGATAAGGCGACTTGGGACTTGGGGACCTCCTAGGGGTGCCAAAATGAACAAAATTCTTTACGACGTGATTGAAAGAAGAAGGAAACATCGGCGCCACTGGCTTCAACATCTTGCACCCGACTGACCCATCAAGCTAGAATTCAGGTGGAACGGGCTAAAGACAAAACAGAGTCGCTGCTCAATCAACTCAAGCTTGTTAGCAGCAAAAAGACCATAACCTTTTTTTCTATGATTAAAAAAAAAAGGCCATAACCTGACTGTCCTAAACTTCACCATTTGCTGCATATCACCATGGGAAGCCCTTTTTCCTTCTGTTTTTTCTAAGGGAGGGGGATATATTAATTGTCAGTAGCTTTGACAAAAAAAAAACCAGCTTTACCAACAAAATGCAATTGACCTAAATATACAAGTGTAATTCGATAGAAATGAAGTTCTGGTTTCCATATAAATTGAATTGAGTGTTTTATTAGTTGCGGAACACCATTTTCACAGCAAATGAACGTTCATAATCCAATAGAGCAAATTCATGGGGGGGGAGAGTACCTACAAACAAACATGTCCCTCCCAAATCCTATGTTGAAACATCCTCCTCTACTACTAGGAATGCACATTCTTGCCTCCATAGAGACCGTAGCCGTCTAGCAATAGCAACAACAAGCCATGCAAAAGCACGAAGCAAGTAACAACAGTTGCACACATTGTCATCACTGAACTGGAGTCAAAGCAACCACGCCTGCATACCCGGATACATGATTAGATGAAAAAAAAAGTCTTGAGAAAATTACCGAATAACACAGCTACAAGAATATTCTTTTTGGGGTAGAAACGCTACAACATCAAAAGGGCCAGACACAGACACACAGTAAGTCCTAATGCACAAGGACACACAGTAAGTCCTAATGCACAAGGATACCACCAGATGTTAAGGTTACCCAGAACTCAAAAGACAGGAAACCCAAACTATACATTCCTCAATTGTCATGGCACAAAAGGGTCAGATACAGCAAGGGCCTGTTCTTTTTTTTTGGATTTTGAGAGGGGGAAAGTTGGTCAATGGGATTTTGGTTCCCATTGACCAAGATACCCGTACTCTTTTTTCAGATTTATGTAGGACCCACGGAAAATTTATTTTTCCTGGGTATCATCACTTACCCAGTTAAGTGATACCCATCTCCCAGATGGATAAGTAACTTTCCCACCTGGGGGAAAGTTGCCAACACTTGGATGGGACATAATTGTCCCTTTTAATAATGGCCTTTTATGGCTAAAACATCAATGCAATTACCCGGGTAATTAACTTTCCAAAAAGCGAACAGGGCCTAAGTCCTAATGCACAAGGATATCACCAGATGATCAAGGTTACCCAGAACTCAAAAGACAGGAACCCCAAACCATACATTTCTCAATTGCCATGGCACAAAGATTGTCTCTACATCAAGGCTATTACAATAGGAGTACTGGTTATTGAAGCATCATTTTCTTACTTAGTTAATTATCCCATTCGCAGGCTTTCAAGATCACTTTTTATCCTTCAACAACCACAATTCCACTACCCAAAACAAACTAAGGGGAAAAAAAAGGAAAATCAAAGAAAAGAAGTGAAAGAGTTAAAGCTTTTAAAAGGAGTAACCAAGGTTTTAGACCTCACTTTTGAACTGGATTCCAACCTGACTCAAAAATAAAATTTTCTCTGAAATTTCAAAGGAAATTCAGAGCCAGATTGAAATCTCAAGAAAAATACATTTTAAATGGTAAATCTTATTTATCCAATTTCATTTCATTTTCTTTCCTAGTTTTTTGTGTCATGTTTCACGTATCTCTTTACTTGTCTAATTCCATCGAATTGCCTAAAATTTCTACTATTTCATCTCCACTTAGGCTGTGTTTGGTTTGATAGAAAATAAGAGAAACAGAAAATTGAGGGAATGTTGGGCTGTGTTTGGTTGCAGTGCAAATCCATTTGCACTGATGCAAAACCATGGTAGTGCAAATGATTTAGATGCAAATTCTGATTTATTTTTGTTTCAAAATTTACCTTATTTTATTTGATTGTAGTGCAAATGAAGTAAAATATGACCTAAAGCAGAATAAAATAAAACCCACAACAAAATTAAGCCAGAATTAGCATTTTCATTTGCACTCCCATGCATTTGTACTAGTGAAAATAAAATTGCACTGTAACCATATGCATCCTAGGATCAAAATTAATGAATACGGTATTCTCCATCTATGTTGTTTCAGTCACCTCCAAATTATAATGAATCTTAATTTATTTTTTTTTCGCAACATTTAAAACAATGGAGTGAGTAGATTGACCAAAAAAAAGAGTAAAGTGGACAGTAAAGAGAATGGTGAATTAAGGTACAATCCTCAAATGTTGGGAAAAAAAGATGATGAGCTCCATATTTAAATGTGTAAATAATAAAAAATATACAATGTACTTTTTTCCTTTTTCAGAGAGTGTTTAATACACATCTGTGCTAATTGTTCTAGGCTTTATGAAAACAAATTATGATACACAACCAGAGAACTTTTAAAATCAGCAAAAGAGATCCAAGATGTCTAAACTTGCTCCCCACTTGTCAATAAACTCCTGCTTACATGAAGGAACCTTGGGGCTTACCAATCTTATTTGAAGTTTCGTTGTCATAAATGAAGATATTTAGGTCTAGCATTTTCTACCCACATACTGCTTTCATTTTAATCTCTTTCTTTCTTTCTTGATTTTTAACACTTTTTTTACTAATTTTCCCCTTGGGAGAAATCAGTCCCAATATGTCTGATTCATCCCTACCTTCTCTGTCTAGCCAATGTATCACCAAGACCATTGGCTCATCATGGAGTCAACCTATCTGTCACTCCCAAATAGTCTTGCAATCTTTTTAATATCCTCTTTCATATCTATAGTGCCATGACCCACCCTATCATTTAATAGCTATCCTACCACAACATGTGAATCACCTACCACCAATAGATTTTAAGTTGAAACTCTTTGCCAGCTTAATTCCTTGTTGGACTGCCTTCAGTTCTGCCCTAGTTTAAATCCCTATACCCAATAGGGCCAGAATATAGAGCTAACATATGTCCATTTATTTACGAAGACTCCCCCAACTCCAAATTCACCTGGATTGCTTAGACTGCACCCATCAACATAGGATGAGTCCAACGAGCCATCCAAGGTCTTCACCCAATAAGCCACCTTTATAGTCGAAGAGAAACTCTCTATGCCAATTCCTAATAATGTCAACAGTAATAAAATTTGCAAAAGCATCGAAGGTCTTCACCCAGTGAGCCACCTTTCTAGTGATATTCTCTATTAATGCTTCCTTAGGGAGCATCTTTTTGAAAATTCTAGCATTTCTTTCCTCTTAAACACACCACATAAAGCTTATCAAAAAAACAACTAATGGCTGCTATAACACATCTCCACAACATCTTACTCCTTTTCTTTGGAGAAAGAAGCTGTTGAAAAGACTACAAATGTCACCAGAAGCTGTTCATCTGCAGCCAAAATGAGAAAAGAAATACTTCCCAATGCTGGATACACGAGGAAAGGAGATTAGTAGGTGATGAGTACGTTCATAGCCCGCTCTAGAAAGGAAGCACATAATAGGTGAAAGACGCCATAAAGCCCTTCTCTTTTGGAGAGTCTCCCACTAGTAATCTTCAATAGAATGGCTTCCCAACAAAAGGTTGTAATTTCAAGAGAAAATCACCCTTGATGTTTCAAAAGAAAGTTGACAAATTTACTGGATGGATATAACCTATGATGCCTATATATGGATATCGACCAGGATACAGGAAATGGGGATAAAACTCACCATTTCCTAAGATCCCAAACACAGATATGGCTACTAATATCCAATATAGTATAATTATGTCATGCCTCTGCATCTACTTTTTAAAGCTGCATCATGAGACATGACTTACATCTTGCCAAATTTAATTAAATTTACATCATACAGAGATAGTTTTTTGTAGTATGATTTGTTAAAACATATCATTTTAGATATAAGTATATCTAGAAGTGTCCATACAGTCTTCAATGTTGTATTGGGTATATATTCTGTCTAACATTGGTATGCTAGGCACGTATAGGCAGGCATCTATGTATCATAGAATAAAACATGATTCTGGGCTGTGAATAGAAAAAGAAACACGTCCTTGGAAATCACATGTACAAGACCCTTCTCTAAATAAAAAATGAAACAAAAGGTGCCCTTGAATAGAGTGATGGCTAGCGTACACATGACAATTGAAATCTGCGATCTGCCTATCACAGAGAGAATGAAAAAGAATGAAACTCAGCTGCTCCTTACAAAATTAAAAATGAAAAAGGAAAAATATTGGCTACTTGACATTCAACATGACAAGGATTCTCAAATTTATATGCACACATTCTCCCTGTATCTCCCTTTTGCATTAGCAGAACAAGTGTTCCACACCTTTGTTTTTGTTCACATGCCATGTAATGTTGCTCTCATCATGGTTTTTGAACCGTCGTTGACCCGGACGGTCAAACCGTTCGGCCCGGGAACCATCCAGGCAACCGGTTCTGTTTTGCCCCAAACCCGGTCCCTGGCCAAAAACTGTTGAATCGGTCAATGACCCATTGACCTGGGCGGTCGAACCGTCAAACTGTTCGACCCACTCAACGGTTTTTGGCCATTTTATTTTAATTATTTTTTTAATTTTTTGTCAGAACGGGCCATCCGTTCAGACTGGACAGTCGAACCGTCAACCTGGAAACCAGTGGCCAGAACAGTTCCAGTTCCAGGTCATTTTTTAAAACATTGGCTCTCATTATAGGAGGCTCCACACCCTTGTTTTTGTTCATAGGTTACGCAATGTAGCTCTCATTCTACTTCAGTTTAAAACAAACAATGCACGAATTTAAATTGGATTGCCTAGATCAAGATATCTAGACCTTACTTTTTTCCACTGATTATCTACACCCTAAATGATCTTAGTTTTTTTCAGACAAAAAAAAAACTCCAAAGGGAAAAAGAGAACAAATTAGAGCCTAACTTGGATAACTCAAGTGACCAAAAAAATAAGTATTTCTTGTGACAGAGACTTGTATCATATGTATTTTAACAATTCTTCTCTAAAAATCATATGAAGACCACATGGTCTTCAGCTTCTGAGATGTGATTAATAGGCTTTCTAACATTAATATCAATATGACTAAATATACTTTTACACAGAAAGGTGCAGCCACAACTGATGGGCATAAACTTGTACCTGCGAAACTAGATTGCATTATATGAGCAAGGAGAAAGGAAAATGGTACATCAGATATAAAAGTAATTACTGGTATGACAAACATGTTGACATCCCTATTGCCCACAACATAAGATTGCATACCTAATGCTACACAAGTTCCCCATATCAGAATTGTCAACCAGTACATGAATGCACTATATAGGGCAGAGTATAAAAAAAGACGAAAATAGCCTCGATGTGCCTAGCTGCTATTTATAGCCTTCAGCAGTTCAATCAATAAAAAACTTTTCTGGGCAAGTTGACATGGCTTAACTGATATCTAACAGGGAGTTGATTAACTTTGCCTGCAACATTAGCTATGGTGCAGAAACAGATAAAAGGAAGTGAAGGTTTTAAACTTCAGTTTCAGTGCAAAGTTAGGTAAGAAGGTTTTAAATTCTAACTTTGATGTAGACTTAGACCCATGTAGAAGTGGAATTAATTCATGGAAGTATATGGATTATGGAA